GTGTGTGTGTCTGTGTGTGTGTATAAATGCCCATTCCCTCATCACACACATTCATTCAGCCTCACCTGGAGGAAGTACAATTCCGTCTTGCTAGAAGTCTTCGATGAGTGGAATAAAAACACAAAGAATTCTCTCAGCCAGAATTTATTTAAGAAATCAAAATCAAAACGATTCACGATAGAGAATAGACATGACATGGCACATGAGAGTAAGGTATTTCTGCCAATTACATTTTATTTTTGTTTTGAGGACGGGAGAAATGATACCATACACAATGAATCATTGACAAACTGATTTGTAATTATTTCTTGCTATTTATTTCGCGGACGTATGATAGCGACGGGAAAGTAGAATAAAAAAGGTTCGGTATTTTCACTTTTTTCAGTCTCCTGGAAACAAATGTCTTCGGGCCCACTATTAAAAAAAAAAAAAAAAAAAAAAAAAAAAAAAAAAAAAAAAAACATTGCTACAGGTAAAGCATTATGATTCTTTTCACGATTTTCCTTTTTTTTCTCTCCAATTTTCCTTTTACTTCTTGCGTCACGTCAGGATTTCCACATCACACGTTTCATCTTCTTTTTCGGTAATTTCGCTCATTTCGGCGAAATTCAGGCTCCTCTCCCTTTGTCCGCCACTATTTTCATCCGTGTTCGTTCAAGCCTGAACTTGAGCTAAAGTTCTAAAGAAAGCCCTGAAGGCAGCAGGCCACTGTTAATGAGGGTTCTGCCTGTTACCTCGAGCTGTAATATATAACTGGTATTTGAGGATGTAAAGTGGAAGAAGAGAACTTTTACTCTTTCATTCAGAATGTCTTCTTGTTTTAAGGAATAAAACTTTTGAAAAAATTCTCTGATAACCTGCACTTTTATACTTTGCCGTGCTGCTAGTAACGATAGTGTTTACAATACTAATGATAATGATGATAACAAAAAGGAAGATGAAAGTAATAATGACAACAACAACAGGACTTAACAGGAACAACAAGAAGAACAATAATAATAATACAGATAATGATAATCATGATGATACATTTCACAAAGAAACGGAAGCAAAAAGACGTTAAATTCCATTTATTTCCCAACACTGCGCCTCGAGTTCCCTGAAACCCATGCATATCAGCGACAAGTTTTTACTGCTTGAACTTAGTCTCCAGGTGCAGGACTCGGTACAATGACCCGGTGCGGGGGTGTCTGCAAGCCATTCTTGCTAAACAGAAAGTGTCTTGTTTCCGCTTACGAAAAACGGATCTTCGAGAAGCCACCCTTAGTTTTTTTATTTATTTTTTATTTATTATTATTATTATTATTATTATTTTATAAAAGTGCGTGTTTTCTTGGGGTAGGCGACTTCTGAGCACTTTGGCAACATGAAAAATGTTTTATTTTTATGTTTTAAATGCTGAAAATGCATAGTTTACAAAGAACAAGGAAGATGAAACTATGGGACCAGGAAGATCTCGAGCACTTGTACCCTTGACCCAACTTTCATGGATGTAGCTCTTCTGTAACGAGTGGTACAGAGAAATAAGTTAAGGAAAATCCGTTTTCTTGCCGTTATACAGCTACTAGGTAGATACTGTTATACTTCTATGTGCATGTATATATGACATGACAAGTGTAAGTAACTTTTATATTCATATCATTATCAGTGTTATTTTCTTTATTATTATTATTGTTAATACACTATGGAAAATATTCCCCATCATGCAGAGATCTTTCTGTCTCTCTCTTTCATCCTCTCGCTTTAGCTCTTTCTCTCTTACAGTCTCTCTGCCATTATTATTATTACTATTATTATTGTAATTCTTAATGTTATTATTGTAGTTATTATCAGTGCTCTTATTATTATCATTATTATTGCTATTATCATTATTACGATTATCATTACTATTAGCACACAATTGATCAGAGCAATTACATTAGATACAGTTTTTAGTCAATTTTGTAGGCCATAGTCAAAAAAAAAAAAAAAAAAAAAAAATGTAGCAGTCCAGCAGGGATGGTGTAAATGACGTCCTAGGGTCACAATGCTTAGGCTGATTGTGCAGTGAAAACTGCTGTTAGATGCGTGAGTGGTCATCCCTTCCTTTTATATAAATATTCAGCCATTGTAATGCATGTGACTTTACAGTTCACATCACAAACAAAATGATTGATATTTTTTACTAAAAACAATGATATTGTTTGGTTTGCCTGAGGACTTATCTTGTGTGTAAGGGTAATGTGGTCCACGGGGCGTGCAATGGTTCAGTTCAGGAATTTTTTTTATGAAAAAAAGATTCATTTTTCACTCCCTTCTCCTACAACAAACCTCCTTTCAGCTAAAACACCAACACATTGCTCGTCTGTGGACTTGGCTCTATGACCACGAGAGTATTAGATCCAATGAAGTCATCACTACTTCCTCCGGTCTCTCTTTCTCTTCCTCGCTCACTGACCGATATCTCTCTCTCTCTCTTGGTAGACTGGTAAATGCACAGACCCCTTGTCAACTTGCGTTGCTTTGTCTGCATGGCTTCTTGTCAACACAGTGAGTGGTAGTGAGTTGGATGAGATGTAGCAATGGGCTGATAGAGAGATAATTGGAAAGATAGTAAAAAAGAGAGATAGAGATTATAACTTATGACAAGTAGTGTTGGTGGAAGAATGGTATGGCTTGGTGGTCGAGTTGTGGGAGGTTTTCCCACAACTCATACTCCACGACTCAGTCCTAATAAAAAGGACCAGGCTTTGTCCAAAACTAAGCAAGTCTCGGATCGAGTCCTAAATTCGTATGATTCATTATCGACCTTGTTCATTATTTACTGAGTTAAATGTTTATATACATATTCTATATATATAATATAGATAACAACTTGTGATAAAAAAGGAACACTGTGTCAGGTTGATCAACCCCTACCATGGGCTTTGGCACTTGTCGTTTTTCTCTTGCATTGTTTTTTTTTGTTTCTTTGATGTTACTGTGACGAAAGCTGCGTCTTCAGCAACTTGTCCTGCTCTTTCTTCACGGTTGTTGGTCACGACCTTCGACACTACTGGAGCTGGAGGTTGAGCTAGGGGGGGGGGCAGTGGGAGGAGGGATTCCTGGCGATTAGACTCGAGTCCCTTCTGGTTCTTCTTGCTTTGTTTTTTCTTAAGCCTTCACCTCGGCATTACTTGTGTATGTGCTTCAATTTTCCCCTTGGCTCGTGGGATGCTCAAGGACTGCTGTGTCTTGTTACTCGGGGAGGCTGGCGAGGCAGCAAGGGCGCACGCCCGCTCACTTGCTGGGGGAGAGAGTGGAGAGAGGGGAGATAGGCGGGAGAGGAAGAGAGTTGGGAGGGTCGTTGGTCCCGGGTACAACAGCTGGGACGGTGTGGAGGAAGGTTCTTGGGTAGAGGACATTCTGATAGGGAGAAGTGAATGGGAAAGATTGGTAGGAGGATTGGCCAAGGACGGGAAGGCAGATCGGATGGGATTTGGTGGGGGTGGGGGTCTGCCTCTTCGCATTCCTGCTTCTGATCCATCAATTTATTGTGTCGCCTCAGTCCTGAGTTGGGATGTTAGTTGTTGCCAACACCAGGTTTTCACTATTAATACAGTGGCCAATTATGGTGTGCACAATGATGTTTATCATCTTAGTGTCTCTTGTTATGTTTCTAGGTTTCCTAGAGTCTGATAAGTTGATTACTATATCATGGGCCTTCTCAATCTCTGGTAATCAATATAGCCCACGCTTTTTTCAACAAAACATAGGATAGTGATCAGCACTTTTATTACACTGCTGATTTAATAGACATTTTTTTGAGTGTTGCTTTCAATGTTTTCACGGGCTGCACTGTCTTCATTGATGCACCCATTACCCCGGGGGGGGAGCAGCCATTTCCTAGGCTGCCGTGGGAGTGACCATCATCCTGACCTGCGTTACCGTGGGGGGGGGGGCTGTGTCCTTGGGCGGAGGTCCCATTACCCTAGGAAGGGTGCTCGATACTCTGGTCTAAAGGGTCCCCTTTCAATCTGGGGATAAAAGCTTGTGCTAGCTGCACAAGGAACCACTGGGGTAGCCCCCCGGTTGGCCCCCTTTGATCCGGGGGAGGTAGCCAGATTTCCCTATGACTTTGCGGGACCACAGGATGCCATGGTTGGCCGAGCTGTTTGCCTGATGTGGAGAGGAGGCAAAAATACGTCCGACCGCTGCGACGGCTAGACTGGTAATTAGAATTGTGTTTTACCCTGACACTGAAGGCTGTAATGCTTGACAAGTGAATAATATAGTCGTAAATCCATGTTTTGAATTGTGATAATTAAGACAATGTCCTTCCTCTCCTCCTCTTGCACGCATAAAGACATACACACATACACACATACACTCATGTATATATACATACATACACACACACACAAATATATATATATATATATATATATATATATATATATATATATATATATATATATATTTCGACACGAAATATTTTGAACCTACCTAATCGAAGACACATATTTGTCCTACTGAATATGCCACTAAAATTAATTGGGAGAAACATGATACAAAATTATATATGGCTGACTCGGGAGATACTCAGTCTTGAGAGAACGCCAGGGAATATGAGGTAAACCCAATTATGGGTAAGGATCACACTTTCTTTCTCTTGCTTTCACTTTAACTATCCCCCCCCCTCTCTCTCTCTCTCTCTCTCTCTCTCTCTCTCTCTCTCTCTCTCTCTCTCTCTTCTCTCTCTCTCTCTCTCTCTCCTCTCTCTCTCTCTTTCTCTTTCTCTCCTCTCTCTCTCTCTCTCTCTCTCTCTCTCTCTCTTCTCTCCTTCTCTCTCTCTCTCTCTCTCTCTCTTCTCTCTCTCTCTCTCTCTCTCAACATCATTAGGCACACGACTTTTTAGCACGTCGAAGTAAAATACGAAACCAGAATCATATAAGTACACTATCCACCATGATCCTGGAGAATTTGAAAACCTCTAATTTTAAGATGCTTTTTGGTCAACTTATTTCATTAATAAGGCTAAAACTGGGCCAGAATAGTTTATTTAATACACTCAGATGTCTTTTACATTACCACAAGCATATGCATAACAAAGCCATAGACATACACATAAAAACATGCAAAAAAACAATGAAGAACATTTAAGACAAGCTTCCATCAACGCTTCGCCACCAGGGGAGAATGTTGGCTGCTTACACAAACCAAAAACATAAACGCATTAAGATTTTCACTCTACATTTTGATAACCCTATATAGACGATATTTTTCCCATGGCACAAGAGCATCATGTAGCCACCAGTGTTTCAAGATGACATCTCTGGCCATTCCTATAGCATACAATATTCATCTAAAGTAAGCAAGAACGCATTCAACGTAGATCACTACACAGCAGGCACATCGACCTACTATTTTTTAAATATCATATGGATATCAGCTAAGCAGAAGCCAACATAAACAGGGTACTATTTACAACTCTAAAGCATCTTTATCTACAGACAATTGTGTTGGCAGTGTTGAGTATTATAATTAGCATTTTTGGGCCTTTGGATATTCATTTCTTTAATTAGAATTATTTGGCTGGACAGGGAGCTCGACGTTAAATTCCGGCCTTTCCTGGCCAGTCAAGTTTTGCTTTGCATTCTGTAACCTAACTCTGTCCTTGTAAATGTACTTAACTCCTGTAACTAAATAAACAACTCTCGACTCTTTAATCAAGGTGTATCATTTTCTACTTTATCATTGTAAAATAAACAAGTCAGTTCTACGTGCAGGTTAGTGATCTCAGAACCAAGGCCGACATTCCAGAAGACCTTTCTTCCTCTTAGCATGGCTGGATTTAAAAGTCACTGAAGTTAAGTAAAAGCTACCTCCTTCAGGAATTCTTTCCATCAGTATATGTACATACCGGGGCTCTTCCCTATGCCACAGAAGCCATTGGGTAACGGCATTACACTTGCAGCTTGAAATGAGATGTAAACTCTCGAAATAACCCTTTAAACAAAGCATCATGACTCGTAGACAGGCACAAAGTGTGACTCCACTTCCCCTCCCTCGAGTATTCCCCAATAGCATGGAGGCGAGACTAAGGGACATGCCAATAAAAAACGATATCTCATCCATGCAGCCAAGATTTCCTGCACACACTCTGTCAAACCCAAGAAGGAGGAGGTCTTTGCCTGCCCCAACTCCATCACCTGCAAACCTACAACTCTGTGCATGGCTCTATCTTAAAAGATGGGATAAATCATCAGAATGCACCTTGGCGGGCACATAGTTGAATATGATACATTAAGCATACCTGTGAAAGGATACTAAAAGGAAAACATGATCCTCTCCTCTCTCTCTCTGACATTAAGTGACTAGTCAACGTGAAATAACGCAAGTAGTTGCTACATGGATATTTGCATACTGATGCTCACTGCTTGCGAGTATGTTGGCATAGACAGCCTCACTGATACGGTTTTGCTTCTGATCTTCGCCCAAAAGAATATCTCCTTGGTTCACTTGAGGTGTGTAAGCAACTCCCAGGGTGTATGGGTCGTCGTACTCATGGGGATCAGGATTTGGCGCCTGGTCCTTGGCTGGGTTATCCTGAAACATTTAGCACTGAACAGTTAAACACTTCTGTCATTCCTACAAGTGGGCAAAGTAAGTGAAAATCAGTATGCGTGAGAGCAGTGATGAAAACTCGCTTTGAGCACAAATGACTTACTGAAGCCAAAACTGCTTCTTCTCCAGGTCGGCCTTTGTCATTTGTGGCCGGAGCATGTATGGCCTCTGTGAGCCGAATTCTTTCATTCAGATGATCCACCAATTTCTTGCTTCGCCTGAAAAGCAAAATAATTATCAAGTTTCCATAATTAGTAATGATAAGAAAGCTGGAAGAATAAGAGACAAGAGTAAATGGTTTCCGTTTCAGAGATGAGAGTCACGCATGCTTTTAAAAGCAAGGAGTACTAAAATCAAATGCAAAAGTAGTAAAGTCAGACACATGTACACACTGTATGCGCAGACATGAGACAGACCACAGCATGAAGGGCAGAAGTCCGAGGACGATGAACAGAAGGAAGGCCAGCAGGACCGGGATCCACACTGGGAGGACTCTTTCAGATGGCATGGCGACCTCTGTTGCAACCGCACTGCTGCAGTGAAGTCTGTTGCATGCTGCCACCTCGGTGCGATAGTTTTCTCCTGGGGTGAAGCCGTTTATCTTGGAGGGGGGGGGTGATTTCAAGCATCAATCTGTTAGTAACTGTGAGTATTCTGCTTTCTCTGCAGCAAAGCAATATGATTGCATTATACATAAGAATGATTATATCAATAAAGAACGTTTTAGTAAAACCAGTGGTGCTGACGGGAAAGAATGGTGTCTGAGTGCTGATCTACGGCTGAGCAATGCTCTTCATGTCTTGCAACTATACATTGGGGAAAAAACAGTGTGATCCTTGCTCGTTCATACAAATCGAAATAGACCGGCAGCCCAGAGCAGTTTGGTTAAACGAACGAGGTATTATATCTGGCCACAAGAGTGTTTAACCTACCATATACAGATGTGGATGTCTGCTGGGGACCCTCTGCTGCTTGTGGCCCGGGAGTTCTTGCAAAGGGCTCCAAAATGCGCTAGATTAAACATACCAGGTACCTTCTGAAACCAATTTAAGGTGAAAGGGTTTGTCACACAGTCTATCAAATGACCTATGCCAGACAAATTCTATGTTGCAAAAGGTCCGACAGACACCCATAGAGGGGCCTTTAGTTTATGTTTAGCCTGGTTTAAACATTAGATATACCACTCGAAACCAATTTCAAATTTCAAATGAGTAAACCCGCCACACGCCCGCGCCACGCCCCATCGATTTCTAGCACAAAATTTATACATTTGAACTGATTTATACATACAAACACACAGACAACCATACATATATACATGCATATATACACATATATATATATATATATATATATATATATATATATATATAATATATATATATATACATACATACATACATATAATATATAATATATATATATATATATATATATATATATATATATATATATATATAATATATATATATATATATATATATAATATATATATATATATATATATATATATATATATATATATATACAGAGATATAAAAGATCCTAAACTCAATGTCGAAAGCAGGTTAGAAGAACGTGAAACTAATTTTTATTGACGCTTTATTTGTAATAACTGCTAGTCCAGCTGGTACAACAACCAGTCACCTTCCTCGATACAGTGACCCTTGACCCAGTCGTACTTGAGGGGATCCGTGGCATTTTCTGGGGGAGAGAGAGAGAAGAGAGAGAGAGAGAGGAGAGAGAGAGAGAGAGAGAGAGAGAGAGAGAGAGAGAGAGAGAGAGAGAGAGAGAGAGAGAGAGAGAGAGAGAGAGAGAGAGGAGATGGTGTGGGGGGTAAAAGAGGTATGGGTGTGGATGGGGGAGATGGGTTAGGTATTTAGGCGAGGGTGGGAATGTGGGTTGCGTGCAAGGAAAATAATCACCGATCTGACTGCACGAAAAGAACATTCACACTAATAACAAGAAACTTACGGTAATTGCAACATTAATCAACTACAATGCGAAATCATAAGATGGGTACGTTGTTTAGTATGTAAAATGAATGAGATGGTGACAGGTCTGTTGCAGAACAGAATAAGGCTTGCAGAGCAACGCATGATGCAAGCGGGTTGCATCAGCTTCCCTTGGGCAACTGACAGCCGAAAGACAACTCTCGTGGTTTTAAATGATATGTACTTAAAGTAAATTCAATGAGCGAGCTCATACGCAGAACGCAAATTGGCCATCCCATTTTGTTGGGAAATACCAGCGATATAATCTCCCGTACAGTCATATAAGAAAGGTCGCGGCACATACAGGAGAACGTATTATTCAACATAATTCCATGTCCATAACCCAGCTGGGGGTCGCCATCAAGGACCATGTAAAGATGGAGAAATGAGGTTCGTGATTAAGATTGATTGACGAGGAAAATGTTTGAAAATCAAGTCAGCATACTAGCCATTATCGTAAGAAAGTGAAGAAATAGAAAATCGTTAGGATGACTGAGGTAATTTTGCATGTGATGACTCATGAAAGTGAATATCACGAACAATACGAAATCATAGTAGCTGATGTAATAAAATTAGCCTCTAACATCGAGAGAAAACTGAATTAAAATATAAATACAAATAGCCTTGAATGTATTTTTCAGTCAGGCAGAGTCAGATGGCTAGAAATAGGTACCACTGACCTGAGTCAAGTCAAGGGAGGTCATTATCCGAATATTCGTTTAAAATAGCAAGAGCTTGTAGATATAAGATTGAATATTGTGAAAAATAAGTACACATTAATCTAGAAATTAAATAATCAAATTACCAATAAATCAAATAAAGAATTTACCATACATAAATAATTAAATAAAAAAGCTTATTTATAAAGAAGATGAATAATCATGGGGAAATATATTTCAGAAAGTGCACAAATACACTATAATAATAACGTAAAATAACACAATAAAATTCAATGAATTATGTTATCATTATTACAGCTCTCAGATACATTCATACAAATCTGCAGTAAATTGAAATTTACGGTAAATCGTTCGATAACGAAAAATAACAATGACTATCGCAATATTGATTCGCATTATGAAAATTATTATGTTATATAGATTAAATTAAAATTCAGAAAAAAGAGAGAGAAAGGAAGAGAGAGAGAAAGGAAGAGAGAGAGAAAAGAAGAGAGAGAGAGAGAGAGAGAGAGAGAGAGAGAGAGAGAGAGAGA